TATATGGACATTTTCAAACTAATACAATAAAATTGCAGTAACGAAATGTCCATAACGACATTTCGTTACTGCAGTTTCGTCCTATATGGTCAATAAATTTTATTGTATTGGTTTGAAAACGTCCATATATCAACTTTCAAACTAATACAATAAATGTTATTGTATTAGTTTGAAAATGTCCATGTAGATTCTGCAAAATGTAAACTTTTCACGGAAAGGAGGTGGCACTTTATTACTTCATCTCAAATCAAAACACAGTGAAAAGTACAAAGAACTTTTGTTTCTGGAACCAAATAACCAGCAAGAACCACATACACCCAAACAGCTGACAACTTTATACAAGACTGTCGAGAACGGTTGTCTATAACAGAATCTTCAATAAAAAATGGTACCTGGGATGAGAGTAATGCAAAACAAAAGGAATTGGTCGAACTGCGTCAGTTTACTTGAGAATGATTTAGTAAACAGAAACTGGCCGTAACAAATAAAAATCTTAGTAGAAATTAGACAAGAGTTATTTTTTCTCTAGTCTATATTTAATATGAATTTCTACAAGATAAATAGGTCATCAATAGAACAAAAAACATACTATATTTATTTTACATATACATTGAGTGGGCTCAGAGTCATACATTCTTTCTAAATGAACACACACACCTTTGAATGAGGCGTCTTTTGGCGGGACTCATCTCTACATACAGGTCATTTTATAATACTATCAAGTTTCGCCCGTGAGAAGAATTATTTTTTGTATGGAATAAATACACGATACTACCGAAAAGAGTAAAAACTAGATTATTTCAAAAAATAAAAAGTATTTGTTTTGTTTAATCAAATTTGTTACACAACATGTGAGTTTTGTGTATGTGCTCAGATGTATTTAAATCCGTTCATGTATTTTTTGTTACTTAGTGTACTATCTTTTTTGGAAAATTAATAATCAAGAATAGACTGGTATTCCATCAACATGCAAATCTGTCCATGCTTGTGCATATATATACAAATACGTATCCATTGAAAAGTAATGTACTTTATTTTATTTCCATTTCTTTGGGAAATCTGAAGCGGATCATAGGACTTGAACACAAAATCAGTGAGTTTGCAAACACTTGTACACACTTATAAAAATAAATTTTATTGTTTCATCATGCTGCCATACAACATACAACACTCACAAATCTTAAATAAACAAAATTTCGAAATACTGGTGATTATTCAGACCAAAATAAATTAAAAAATAAAAATAAGTGAGATTCCAAATGTCAAAAGAAAGTTGATTATTTGAGGGGTACAATATCAATGTTTGATAAAACAAGATTAAATAAATATTTTTGTATAAATAAACAAATTACTATGTACATAAAAATGAAAGTAATTTGATAAGGTTAAAAATGATTTTTTGTTAAATTTTCTAGGTACTATTTTAGATGAGAAACTCACCTGGGGTAGTCACATACAAAAAGTGTGCAGTAAACTTAGTTTGGCTTATTATTCAATGAAACAGTTGAAACATTTTTTGGATAGGTTTGGTTTACTGAAAGTTTATTTTGCGAATGCATGCTCCCATATCAGTTTGAATATAATGGCTTGGGATTGTGCAAGGAATTTTCTAGAGTTTTCATCTCTCAGAAACGACTGATAAGATTAATATTCAATCTGGGGTATCAAGAAAGTTGTAGACCAATTTTCTAATGAGAAAGCCAGTTATGCGTAGGACACAAGACTCCTTGATGTTTGATAATATGAGAGATATAATAATAATGCTGTGAATAATAACTTAAATTCACCTAAAAAGTCCATTATTTCATTTCTGTGCAATTCGGTGGAGCAAACTGAATAAAATTTGCAATTGACATTCAAAACCCAAGTACAGAACATGGCTATCTATGAATAGCTATACAGTCAATAAAAGGTCTCTGTTTCTCCTACCTTACTAAGAAGCTGAGAATCTAGTTGGCTATCTATTTCTTTCAGTTGATTATCCAGTTTTTGTTTCGTACTGTCGTAGGTTTTATTCGATTCATATTTACTGTAGGACGGCACGTGATAAGATGAGTCACTACCGGTATATGAGTTTCCGGAACCAAAAGCTGTGGAATTTGTCAAAACACTGCTCACTAAAAGAAAGAAAACTCTTAAGTTGTTTTCTATCTCAATAATTAATATAGATAGAAAGATAATCTGTATAGATTCTTTCTCAAATTATAAAAGAGCAGAAATACGAATTAAATATATGACATACTGAGAAATATTTCAGGCTAAGGAGCATAAAATACAATGATAAAATTTCAACTAGCAGTCAATTCAAAAGTCTACCAGAAAAGTATTCTTCTACTGAGTAATATGCCTTTGACGGAAGCATGATTTTCAATTGAATTGTAAAAAGTATAAGAAACGTTTTGGCTTTCTATTTCTTCATTTTTTGTATGAAGCTGAAAAAGTCGAAAGCCAAAACGTTTCTTTCCAGATTTTCCATTACTTCTTCATTTTTGGGGGAATCACACAAAACTTCTATCTCTATCAAGTATAAAAAATGTGAAGTGGTTGCATTTTTGGTTTGTTGTAAAAGTATTCATGTTGTAAAACATGTTATGAACGATTTGAAAGGACTCTTGTATGTGGAAATTGACATAATGTACACACGAAATCAACTTAGAGTGACACTTTCTATCGAATAAAAAGTAAGGTTATAAAACTAAATTCGACTCACCTAACTCTTCCCTGGAAACAGTCGATCCCAAAACATGATCAATATCCGTTCCACCGAGGCTAGGATGAGGTGTGTGATGTGGGGAACGACCCAGCATACTCGAAACGTCTTTGTCGTATGTGTGTTTCTGCAACACCCTAATCATGGCATCTCTTTCGGCTAGTTTAGATTCCAAATCTTTCAATCTGCATAGAAACGAGAGGAATAAATTTGTAAGTGATGTAAAATAAAGGAAGCTTTACCTGGACTCCAAATCGGCAACCTTTTTTTGAGCTGCATGAACCTCGTCCATGTGTCGTATTTTCTCATTTCGGGCCTCCGCTATGATTTTTTCAGTCTCTTGGCTAGTTTTCTCTAGTGCTGCTATCTTGGCATCCCTAATAAATTGTAGTTATAGATTGTAGATGTTTTTCATGAAAGGGTAAAATTTTTTGAACAATTTAAATGTTTTTTCAATACCAAGTTAGTTTTCAAGGCAGCCAGAAACTCTAGAGTGAAAGTCTCCCCGATATATGCTACAGAAGAAACTTTCAAAATCATCGCCTCACTAAGCTCAACATTTCTGGGAAGTTCACCTTATTTGCAGATGACACTACCATACTTTGGAATAATAAAAACACTTGTGAGTTGCACAAAATAATCTCTGCCGACTTGAAAAAAGTTGAAGATTGGCGTGATTCAAACATTTCATCATTTAACTTAACGAAAACAAATTTAATATCTCTTCCGGCTTTCCCCTTGGCTTCTGCAGCTAAAGAGATCAGGGAGCTGTAATCTTTATGTGAATATATCAGTGTTGTGTCATCAGCAAATAAACACTTGCATGTGGAGATAGAATGGACTCAGGTCATTTATATATATGATGAACAACAGTGGGCCCAATACGGAACCCTGTGGAACACCAAATTTCACATCCCTAAAACTGGACTGTTATAAAATACTGCTTGAGATCGATTAGATAAATATGACTCAAGAAGAGAGAGAGCTACCCCTCTAATTCCATAATAATTTAGTTTATCTACAAGTATATCATGGGAAACACAATCGAAGGCCCTAGACAAGTCACAGAGAGTGATACCTATATGGTGACCTTGTTCAAGACCCTCAATCAGCCTTTCCACAACCCTTATAGCTGCACGAGTAGTTGAGTGATTTAAGCGAAAGCCAAATTGTGATTCATTAATGAACTTATTGTCCTCAAAGTACCTACTTGGTCAATCTTTTTTCATTATTATTTGAATTATTTTTGAAAAAATGCAAATAATTGAGATGGGTCGATAATTGCCAGTTTGTGTTCTATCACCCTTTTTGAATACAGGGATCATTTTAGAAAATTTGAAACTATCAGGGAATTTTCCTGTTACAAACATCGAATTGATTAGATCAGTCCTTAGATAGACTAGTCAGTCCTTATGGCTGTAGTAACATTTGTCTAGTAATAATGTTTTACCTTTCTTACTGAACATAGTTTCAGAATTCAACTTCTCTATAGAAAGTGGCAGTCTGTTATAAAAATTGATGGCATTATACAATGGAGAATTTTTGAAATGGTCTCTCTTATACGAGGGGACCCTCAGAACATTAGCATGGCAAGTATCACGACCATGAATGCTCAAGTTTATTATGTACAAGTCAATGTTCCTATGCACAAAAACGATACATTTCATTATATTTATTGCGGGTACAGTCAAGCATAACAGAAAGATGGTTTTAATATATATAAAACGAACGTAATTTGCTTCAAATATTCCATTAGCAATTTACAAGTTGATATCTTTGTTGCCAATGAACCATCAACTAAATTTCTGAGACTAATTATTGACAGCAATTTGAAATTTGAAGACCATATCAGGGGTCTCAAATCAAAGTTGTCCTCTGGGTCTTACGCTGTAAGGCTGACATCTTGTGAGTTAGGATTTGCTGCTGCCAAAGTTACAATCACTCTATCATAGAATCTCACCTACGATATGAAATCCCTTTCTGGGGTGCATGTACTGTGACAACATTGCAATCAATTTTAGTTATACAGAAAGAAGCTGTATGTTTTCTGTGTAAAGCAAAGCCAAGAGATTCTTGCAGATCACTGTTTAAGGAAAAGAAAATCTTCACTGTAATATCAAGTTTTATTATTGAAACTATAAGTCTCATAGTAAAACATCAAAATCGGTTTTTAAATGACCCTCGCCAAAAAAAACTTTAATCTGCTCATTCCAAAATATTTCCTTGTTGAACTCTTTTTTTTCTGCCCTTTTTTGTCGTATATACATATGTTCAGAATCTCTTTGAAAATTCTATTCAACACACTAGCAACGTATATTATTTTATAGTATATAGCTTCACCTGACCAAGTAGGGCTAGCTAATATGTGTAATTTTGTTTTTTCAATTATTTTAACCAAGCTTTGTCAATGAGAAATAAATTTTCAGACAATAAAGCATATTTTGACTTTGACTAACCGTTCTCTTTTAAAAGTTGCCCTACAACTCTCTTGGTACCCCAGATTGAATATCACTCTTAGCAGTCAACAAACTTTCTCTTTAGAAAATTGATCTACAACTTTCTTGATACCTCAGATTGAATTTTAATCTTATCAGTCGTTTCTCAGAGATGAAAACTGTAGAAAATTCCCTCGTAATTCCCCAAGCCATTATGTTCAAACTGATGTGGGAGTACGCATTTGCAAAATAAACATTCAGTAAACCAAACCTATCCAAAAAATATTTCAACTGTTTAATTGAATAATAAGCCAAACTAAGTTTACTGCACACTTTTTGTATGTGACTACCCCAGGTGGGTTTCTCATCTAAAATAGTACCTAGAAAATTGATCTAAGTCAGTATTGATTTCATCAATACTGACTTAGATTTATTTAAAATCAGTTTGTTACGTTGACACAACTACTGAATTTGTCAATAACTAAATTTACTTCCATTGATTATAGGATAAAGAAAATACTTTTGTAAGAATATATGTATAAATAAATAAACAAAAGTATTTTCATTGATAACTCATTTCTCGTTTTTCCCAGAAACAGTGATTGTAGTATCGTCAGCATACATAATTATGCGACAGTCTGATATGAATCAAGCCAGTCATTGATAAAAATCAAGAATAACAATGGACCAAGAGCAGATCCTTGAGTTACCTTTCGGCCAGATAGCCGTGACTTCAACACNACTTTTCGAAGTGAATTTGAAAAACTCATGAATTAAACTCAACTTTAATTTGTTCAAACTTGCATTTACTGTAATAACCCAAATTGAGGAACATTCCCCATTGTAAGCATATATTGTTTATGTAAATATTAATAGATGCCTGACATATGCTGATTTTATTAATATGTATGTATTGATTTGTGTAAATACTGATGAATGTTTAAAAAACCTGTAAATTATCTATCTATTATTATCAATATCGTCTACTAATATAGTTTACCTGTACTGGAAATAGAAGGAGATGGCGAAGCAGAATTTCTTTTAGTTATTGGAGATAGTTTGGGGTCGTTGCTTAAAATGCTCGACTGATGTGTCAAGAAATTTGGAGGCGAGATATTTGATACTTCCCTTGGTCCCGAATTTCTTCCTAGAAATCAATTAATGTATGATTTTATTCAAGTATATCTATCATATTCACAAATATTGGAAATATTAGAATCAAACTAATGAATAGAAATTTTGCAATGAGCATAATAGTGAGTTCTTTACACAGACTTTGATGATAATAGCAAAGTGGTGCGATATTAATTTTCACATGATGATTTCATCATTAGGCGAGATTCAGTATAGTGATCTGTACCAGAAAATATAGACATATATCTGCTTTGGTGAAATTAAATAAACTAGACAAGCTAACACACAAAATGGGCCTTAAACAGATTTTGAACTTAGTTTATATCAATGCAGTTTATATAAACACTCGAATGAATTCTCCATCTGGCTGAAAAATGTCCTAATAGAAAAATGTTTCTATTCAATAGAAGATTTTATAAATGAATAATACATGTACTACATCTCTTGTAGGTTTACATGTGCATGATAATTTTGTATATATTTATTTATTTTATTTTGATCTGTGCATCTCTGTGTATATGTATTATAATTTTAATACCAAGGAAATAACGACGTTGTAATGTTTCATTTACAATGAATAAATTGATTGATTGATCATCTTCAAAGAGGAAGATTAAGATTGAGTTTTAATCTTCCTCTTTGAAGATGATCACTTGGTGATTGAGGTGTTAAAAAATAACGATTTGGTGTTGGGAAAAAACTCCAGTAATATTCATCACTACACCAAAGGTTCCAAACAGTACATCATAAGTATGAGCATTTTTGAAATGGCCTCTCTTATACGAAGGGACCCTCAGAACATTAGCATGGCGAGTATCCCGACAGTGAATGCTCAAGTTTGTTATGTACAAGTCAATGTTCCTATGCACAAAAACGATACATTTCATTATATTTATTGTGGGTGCAGTCAAGCATAACAAAAATATAGGTTTTAATATATCTAAAACGAACTTATTTTGCTTCAAATGTTCCATTAGCAATTTACAAGTTGATATCTTTGTTGCGAATAAACCATCAACTAAATTTCAGCGACTAATTATTGACAGTGATTTGAAAATTGAAGACCATATCAGGGGTCTCAAATCAAAGTTGTCGTCTGGGTCTTACGCTGTAAGGCTGACATCTTGTGAGTTAGGATTTGCTGCTGCCAAAGTTACAATCACTCTAACATAGAATCTCACCTACGATATGAAATCCCTTTCTGGGGTGCATGTACTGTGACAACATTGCAATCAATTTTAGTTATACAGAAAGAAGCTGTATGTTTTCTGTGTAAAGCAAAGCCAAGAGATTCTTGCAGATCACTGTTTAAGGAAAAGAAAATCTTCACTGTAATATCAAGTTTTATTATTGAAACTATAAGTCTCATAGTAAAACATCAAAATTGGTTTTTAAATGACCCTCGCCAAAAAAAACTTTAATCTGCTCATTCCAAAATATTTCCTTGTTGAACTCTTTTTTTTCTGCCCTTTTTTGTCGTATATACATATGTTCAGAATCTCTTTGAAAATTCTATTCAACACACTAGCAACGTATATTATTTTATAGTATATAGCTTCACCTGACCAAGTAGGGCTAGCTAATATGTGTAATTTTGTTTTTTCAATTATTTTAACCAAGCTTTGTCAATGAGAAATAAATTTTCAGACAATAAAGCATATTTTGACTTTGACTAACCGTTCTCTTTTAAAAGTTGCCCTACAACTCTCTTGGTACCCCAGATTGAATATCACTCTTAGCAGTCAACAAACTTTCTCTTTAGAAAATTGATCTACAACTTTCTTGATACCTCAGATTGAATTTTAATCTTATCAGTCGTTTCTCAGAGATGAAAACTGTAGAAAATTCCCTCGTAATTCCCCAAGCCATTATGTTCAAACTGATGTGGGAGTACGCATTTGCAAAATAAACATTCAGTAAACCAAACCTATCCAAAAAATATTTCAACTGTTTAATTGAATAATAAGCCAAACTAAGTTTACTGCACACTTTTTGTATGTGACTACCCCAGGTGGGTTTCTCATCTAAAATAGTACCTAGAAAATTGATCTAAGTCAGTATTGATTTCATCAATACTGACTTAGATTTATTTAAAATCAGTTTGTTACGTTGACACAACTACTGAATTTGTCAATAACTAAATTTACTTCCATTGATTATAGGATAAAGAAACTACTTTTGTAAGAATATATGTATAAATAAATAAACAAAAGTATTTTCATTGATAACTCATTTCTCGTTTTTCCCAGAAACAGTGATTGTAGTATCGTCAGCATACATAATTATGCGACAGTCTGATATGAATCAAGCCAGTCATTGATAAAAATCAAGAATAACAATGGACCAAGAGCAGATCCTTGAGTTACCTTTCGGCCAGATAGCCGTGACTTCAACACAATTAATTTCCAGTTAATACAGACCAACACTACTTACTTTGAGAAATGAGTTGTTTAATCAGCCCCTCCCTCTTGCCGAGTTCCCTTCGCAGATTTTCGGGTACGCTGTAGTCTGGAACGGGAGATCTCGAAAGCATCTGCGTTGATAACAAGTCAACTTGCTCTCGGAGAGCTTTGTTCAGTTCTTGATATCTAGCACAGTCCGATTGCAATCGAGCTCTAGCTGCACGTTCAAGCCGTTCTCTTCTGTCACAGGATTGGACTAAGTCCTCGTGGCCTTTGTGAACTTTGAGAATTTCTTGTTCAAGCTAAAAAAAATTGATCGAGAAGTAGCTTACTATTTCTAAATTATTATTTTTGTAACAGACGTCGTATTACCCAAAGGGAGGTAAATCTGTATATTCAATCACTTTATGAAATAGTAAATAACTGATCAGACTTTAATCGTTCCTACTGTATTTATTCTGTATGTTGTATTGTGAAAAATGCCATGCTTTTAATAAGAGATTTCTTGTTCCACAAGTCTATGTGAAACATAACAGTATGAAATAATACACAACATACTAGTAGGATAAATACACAATTTCACCACTAAACCAAAACAATATACATCAAACCCCAAAGTTTCAATAGAAAACAAAATCTCACCTTCTGCGTTCTCTCCACTCTCTGATAGCAATTTTCCAACTCCTGTTTCAAAGCACTGTTTTCCTTGATTAAAATTTCCACCATTTCAGCAGAAGGCCAGATCTCTTCTCCTTTAGATTCGTTCTCCTCCCTCCCTCTTGTTGGAGGTCTGGGTGCAGAGACGCCTCTTCTAAAGAAGGAGGCGTCACATTTGATCGAATCGACATTCGAGAGATCCGGTTGAGATTTCGAAAGAGTTAGTTTCTCCGCGTTTATCTTATTCTTATTATCGACAGCTTGAAGTAACGGGGACTTATCGGACCAGTTCGGATATTCGGGCGGTGGAGGAAAATTGTTGATGTCGAAACTGACGGGATCGAAACTGAAGAGATTCTCAATATTCTTATCTTTGGCAGTACTATTGGGGGACGGAACTTTTACTTCTTTGGCTAAGTGCTTCAAAACTGACGATTGAGATAAGTAATCGTCTGGAATTTCTGTAATCTCCTGCACACCTAAATAAAAATACATGAAAATGGTACCAGTTCAATTTGTATGATTTATTTCAAGTACATTCTATAGTATTTACAAATATTGGAAACATTTTATATGTTTAGAATCAAACTAATGAACAGAAATTTTGAAGTAAGCTTAAAAGTGAGTTCTTTACACAGACTTTCATAATAATAGCAAAGTGGTGCGATATTAATTTTCACATGATGATTTCATCATTAGGCGAGATTCAGTATAGTGATCTGTACCAGAAAATACAGACATATAGCTGCTTTGATGAAATTAAATAAACTAGACAAGCTAACACACAAAATGGGCCTTAAACAGATTTTGAACTTGGTTTATATCAATGGAGTTTATACAATTGGTCCAAACAAAATCAGAGAAATTCAACCAAGATAACACAACCTGAATAAAGAATCACATAACAAACTTATAGTTCTTCTATGTAAAATATGTGTATGTTAACAAATCATTTTGAGATTACAATTAGCATCTTTTAAAAGATAGAACGACAATCCACATCCTCAACTTCATCAGAAAGTATTTAAAATCATAAAGAGTATCATCAGCATAATAAATGATGATGAAAAGACAAATCCACATTGCAAGTATATAGAAAATTAGTGGTCCCAACACCGATCCTTGGGGCGTTTCTTTATTGGGACTTTCATCATATAATAATATCTCAGTTTTATTGCTTGAATAAAACTATAAGAGATAAGCTGTTCAACTATTCAATATTTTCGAGTCTTCTGACACTTTATTACAAAAAAAAGCTTTTTATTTTCTCCTTCTCCATTTTAAGGGTGCTAATGACGGTTCTGAACCTCCCCCACCACTCATCCTTGACCTTGAATAACGGAACACTGCCTTGAGCTATGTGCACGTCATATGACCTTGAATATTCTAAACGACCTTGAGCTAAGATCACGTCATACAACCTTTGATATGAAGTTTGACCTTGAGGTTGGACTTTCCCTCGCCATCGAGTCGGAGTGGGGTTTATAAGAAATTTGGGGCTAATGTTTCAGTCCATCAAAGCGTTCAGTCTGTAATAGGTGCCAGCGTCAGCGGTGAGAGGATGCACGAGGATCCCCTTAAAGTCATTTCAAGATTGATACATTCTGCCATTCACCTAGCGGTTGGCATTTTTTACATGCTCGCTGAGCAGACGTTTGCCGTGATTCATTCAGTCAACGAGGATTCAGTGGTGCCAAGGATGTATTGCAGTGCTGCTTTCGACACTTTGAGCTGTGTGCACGTCATATGACCATGAAGGACCTAAACGACCTTGAAGTATGAGTACGTCATATTAACTATCTATCTATTGTACTGAGCATCGCAAAAATCCATGCATATTTTTTTGTTTTCATCATTCATTTCCAATTATGGTCACAGTAGAATCATAATATAAATGAAATTATGTTACAATCAGATAATTTCTGAAAAGGAATATTTATTACAACAAACTGATGAATCTGATGTTGAGGAATGAGAACCGTTATCTCATTTTCACTCTTTATGAATTATAAAACTTGACTATGCAAAAATTACAAAGTAACTGAATCCAATTGAGCGTTTTAGTATTATTACCTGTCCATGGTTCATCTCCAGCACTATGAATGATCAGCGTGTTATAAGATGAAGAAGAAACATCTAAAGAACTACGATTAGATGGCAAGCTATCTCTCAATGAACTCCGTTTAGAGTCATTCAAGTTTTCTTGACCCTGTGGTTCTTGTCTGGGTGTATGCCTAATAACATATTTTTCTTCATTTGACAAATTTTCATTAGAAGTTGACACATCAGTTTCACTACCGCTCAGACTTTGACGAAAATTTCCTGAAAAAAAAAAAAGTTTAGCTGTGACGACAAAGAAGATTATTGCTTACCTTGACTCAATTTGAAAGGTCTGTATCTGTTGTTAGACTGCATTTTTTTACAACTTTCATAAAACTGCATTCGACTACCATATTTTACAAGCTAACCTGTAAAAATATAATATTTTTCAAAGATACGAAAATATTATTCAGCATGTTCATTTAAAAGCTCCCATAATATTTCATTGGCAAAACATAATATGCAAAATTCACAATTATGTGAACAGTAGGTACCAAAATAAACAATTCATCATAATTTTTCAGCAGACGTTAAGGGTTCCAACAAGAAAATTAATCACTATGAATCTGACTTCAATTCCAATTTTAACGAGTATTTATGTTCAACATGGTTGTCTAGATGCTGTTCCTTGAATTTCCAATGACACATTTTATATTAAACCAACAAATATATTCTTAGATGGAAAGAAATCTACAAAAATATAACATAATTATTACAAATTGAGTTACGATTTATACAGGTAGACAGTTGCTTGTATATAATACTAAAATTTGGATGCGGACCATAATTGACATTCAAATAAATCAACAGTAAAACAAACATTTTCAAAAGCAAGGCTTTATTCACTTGCTCTTAATTCATATTGGATAATGGAAGTCCAAACTAATGAAATGCAGTATCAAATGAGTTGAAATGTGTTGTTGGAATAATCCACTGGAATGTTTCTGTCAAATTTGAGAACTCACCTATAATGGTTTTTATTTATCAAATAATTATGAAAACAAGTATACACAATACCCCTAACTACTATTTGGAATAGTACTATGTAATTATTACTATCAAAGGCTCTTCATAGTTCTCATTTATTTAAATCTAAGTCAACTTGAAATTGAGTAATAACATCTACTATTACTGATTCTCTATCAATAATCTTCAAAAGCCGTTTCGTCCATTTCAAAGTTAAATTTTCTCAGATAGTCTAGATAATTGTCTAGGGAACTATCCATGAATTAATTTAGATAATACTTAGTTATTGAAATTGGTCTGTAATTCATCATGATGTACATGGTACATTAATAATATATATTATACAATAATAATACACAATAAATATAATAATAAAGAAATGCCAAACACTATAATATTATCTTTAAAGATATTTAGAAAACATTCCCTGTGAGTGGTGTTTACACAACTTTCATGTTTTTATCAATATCCACTGTCCAGTGCATGTCCATCATACTTAAATGTTCATGGTGTGATGTAATTCAATAGTTATTCAAGGAATTTTACTGCATTCCTGGCATTCCTAAAAGCGCCCATGATATTTAGTAATTGGCTGAGTTCTGATAAATCTTCCGAGTTTAGTGATATTAAGTTCACTCCCAATAAAGTAGAATGAGTCGCATGAATTGCCGTACAATTCTAAATCATAGGAAAACGGAAAATTAAAATTTATCTCTTTCAACAAGAATGCAGATTGAATCTGTCAAAACTTTCACAACTGTTTTTGTTCCAAATTTCAAGTTCTCTTTGAATAAACTTACATATCTTATTTTCTAAACACACACTTCGTAAAGGCAGTAGTAATCATAATGCACAAATAAAACGAACTAAAAAAGGAAAAAGTTAAAAAATGGAAAATGTTCAAAACTAGCTCATTACACATCGTCCACACACTAAACACATCGATCACAGAATCTTATTTCTGTATTGTCAATTGTCATTTTATTTGTTCTGACGTGTTTTATTTGATCTTGATTGTGACTTGATAAGTCTATAGAGCCTTGACCATACAGATATTCAAATATATATAGTTACACATTTCGAAGGTGATATCATATTTTTACCTTAAGATGTTCATAGTCATAAATTCGTCAATTCAGTTGTTCATTAAAGATTTTTATTGTTCCCTGGTTCATTCCCATATTACCATTTTTCCTTGTTGTTCCTGATATCCACAGAGAGTTAAAATATAAAAAAATTGAATTTCTTTGGGAAGAAAAATCTTTTGAAGACAAAACACTCATATTTTTAGTGCCTAAATACAATTTATTCTGTCATCTGATGCGCTGTAACTGCGACGTGTTAGTCTTAACAATTGACATTTTTACTGGATTATTACCATACAACTCATAAACTTGTAGTAGTAAGATAGAAGTTTATGATTTCTGTGATTACTACCAGCTGCTGAGAACGCAACATTTTGTATAATTATCAGTTTCACCAATGAAACATACGAAAGTAATATTTCTGGCACAGCATACTATCAAAATGGAAGACGTAACTTAACATTAACTCAACAATCCCAAAAATATTTGACCTTGATCGAAGTAATTTAGGATGCCAAGAGCCACGATCTATAATGAGAACTAGTCGCGATAAATCTTTTTAGCTACGGCATACGTTGTTTAATATTGTATAAGTAATAAAAAATTTGATACAGTGACAAAAACTGAAGAACACGCCGAAAATGGCTTGCACAAATAGTGAATTATTTGGCTTTCCCTTATGTATAGTTCGATATTCTGTAGGTTAGCAGATTAGCCCAGTGGTAGCAGTTACCAGTAGAAGTAGAGAGAGAGAGAGAGACAGAACTATAACTAAGTTCTAGTTCTGTCTAGTTCATAGTTCTGTCTGTGGTTGAGAAACAGTACATAACCTAATAAACATTGTTCATTACTTTACTTGACACTATTTTGTAAACAATGAGCACATACGAAATCAGCAAATCTTCGGTAGATTGTCCCTACTATTTTTTGGTAAATAGTCTATCAATTTTTTTTTAGTTGCTGAGTCTGAAAGCTGAAATACTTAGGAAACAACAAGAACTCACCAAAGCCAAATTTGATAATGAAGTGAAAGTTAAGATTTTGAAAAAAAATACACCACTGGAAATTAAAAATAAAGGTATAGAATCTCGAATTAGGAATGATGAATGCCCAGAGGACGAAGACTTGTTGAAGCAATCTAGGTGAGCGATGATCATTTCACAATATTTTCAACTATGTGAAAAAATTGGTAATGGTGGCATATGTTCAGTCATATAGTTCCAAAACAAACTTCTGATTGGAAAATCACTGCTGATATTGAAATAATACTTTCATAATTTCATGTCAACTTTGCTAAACGATTTTATACTTGAATCATAGTTTTAGAATTTCTGAAAGACTCCACACAAAGTTCAAGGTTAATATTTACTGCCCTACCGCTCAGAGTGATAATTCAGCATTCATATCAAAGTATTTGTTTTGAAAGTATTTTTCTTTTGTGCTTTTTCTTCCAGTTCGTGTCCAAAAGTTACTTCTTTGCATGATCTATACATCCATGTGTAGAGTTACTTATTTTCAAATTAATTACTTCCTTTCTTTTTTTGGAAGATTCCCACATTTTTGTATCAAATGGGAAGAAGTAGAAAGCGCCAAAACCTTTCTTTTCCAAAAAATAATTGAGTATATTTTCTATGGTTATTTCCATGTTATTATGATTTTTATACTTTCATTTTAGATCTGAATAAGTTCTGATAATAGTATTCCGTATAGTCCAGACCACAAAGGTGTTACAAAGTTCATTTATAAACGATGATATATATTTATTAAAGTTTATTCAACTTCTATCGATAACAAATTATTTAGATAAAAGTACAGTTCAATCGAAATATAATACTTTTCCAATGCAGTAAAGTTGTAACTATGTGTATTTGTACAAGATGAAACCATTTCATTCTCACATTACTTCGTCAGGATTGAACATACCCTAAAAAGTCAAATTTAAGTTTTCGTTGATTCTGTCGACACAAAATTTACCTTTGCACGTCTCAAAATGGAATCTTTACTTGCATCATAGGGATGATCTTTAGATGGAATTTCAAGAATAGCTGGAACTGGAGAGTTGTGACTATCTATAACATGTCTTATGATTTCTGCAATGTTCTGATTTATCAGAATGATATCAATATCATCTCTCTTGATGAAACGCTTGAAACATTCCTCAATTTCACTCACAGCTGTATTTTTATCCACTACCAAAAAATTTGGATGTCTGTTCTTATTTATCTCGCCGACTCCTCCCAAGAGGAACCCCACACAAGTATCCTGGAACAAAAATCATTCAAATTGGAAATTGAGAAATATTAAGTACTTAACCTCATCTCCAATCACTGATATCAATTTTCCCTTTATTGCTGCGTGTAATGCCATTATACTTTTTATAACTACTTCTTTGGAACTGAGAAATAACTAGATGAAAAATTTATTGAACAGAAAACCTGCACCTTGTCACATGACAATATTGACATTCCTTATGACGTAGAACAAGTGATTCAAAAATGACAGCCGTGACAGCGTTGCCAACGTCACCAAAACGTCACAGGCACACTGTGTTCCACAGACAGCGTGATAAGAATTCATTGAAAAAAAATTATTATTATATAAAGAGTGGGGAATTCCTAAATGAAGAATGTAGAAAAATTAAATATTGATAACCCCTCCCATAGATGTCCAGATCATGAGAAAAGAAGTTTTGGGTGAAAATATAGGTGAGATTGGTTTTTTGGGGAAAAACCCTTTTAGACTACTACTTTTCCATATATTTATTTTTTCAAAAATAAGTATGGACCAGGGTGCTCGACCTTCTGTGAAAAGCACGTTCCACTTGTAAACATTTTTTTGACTCGAAAGTACAATCACCGTACATTTCAATTGTTTTTGAGCACTTAATTTGACGCAAATTCTTTAATCCATCGTTTTCGCCGAACATGCAAAACACTTCCATAGCCCGCGAAATTTGAACATTCACCTTATTATTTTTGCATTCTTTTTTGAATGATTTTTGATATTCACATTTGTGAGATAATGGACTTTTTCTGTTTTTTACCAGTTTATATTCACAAACATGCTTCTCAGTAAGAGTTTAATTGCGCTGAATATTTATAAAGTAAATGCTTTTCAGGTCTGCTTTGGAATATAAAGCAGATTTGTATGAAAAACTGTCATCAGGCTCAACAGCTGAAGATAAAAAGATTGGAAAACGATTCTTGGTGAGATTTGATAAAAAGAAACCCAAAGTAAGTGACCTGCCTCCTAGTGGTTCGGAAGATGAAGATAAACTTGTAGAAAGTGATGATGACTATTACCAATCTGATGATGATATCAACATTACAGACCCCGGAGAAAAATTGTAAGAATATCATTTAACAAAATGAAAGTTTGAAATTAATCTGTTTAATTATTCAGTGTGGACTATGTCGATTGTTTCGGAAGGACAAGAAAGTGTTTACAAAAAGATTTAGAATATTTAAAATCAAATGATGAAGAACTGCGCAAAGTAGTTGAAGAGAAACGGAAGCAAAACCAACAACAGTCACTGTCTGAAGACAATGATTTCAATAAAGACAACTCTGAAAGTAGAGATGAAATTATCACTGAAAAAGAGAAAGAAGTTGCAACTACCAATCCTGTTGAATCTGAGCTATTATCAAGTGATATGAGAAGAGAGATGTTGAGGAAGCAATGGGAAGCAGAAGAAGAGGAATTGAGGAATAAGTCCAACATTCATTACCAAGATATATTGTTTGCAGGTGAATAAACTTTGATGTTTTTGAAAGTTTCTAAATTGAATGTTCTCTTAGTTGTTATTGTAAATGATCACATAAAATAATTCATTCAGAGGCGAGAACACATGGTGTTGGATACTACAGTTTTTCTAAGGATGAGGAAGAGAGGTTAAAGCAACAGCAAGCGCTGAAAAAATTAAGAGAAGAAACGGAGCAAAAGCAGAAGAAAGCACAAGAGTTGAAAGTGTCAAGAGAAAAGTTGCTAGCAGCAAGGATAAAAGCTGCAAAAAATAGAAAAAGAGCTAGGATGGGTCTACCTCCAGAAGAAGATGGTAAGATGAATCACTCCCACAAAATTAGAGTAACTAAAATATTCAATTTCAGAACCAGAACCTCCACCAGAACCAGAAATAACTGAAGAAGAGAGGAAGAAACAAGAAGAAATCAAATTGAAAGAACAGATGAGAGAGCAAATTCTAGAAGAAGCAAGAAAGAACCATCTGAGGCCATGGGACATAGGAAAGGAAGGAGTAAAAGAACATTATGTGATGACTCAGGAAGAATGGGTGGAAAAAAAAAGGGATGAGAGACCGGCGGCTTTTGCGCCCCCTTCATCTGATAGGAAAGATTTTAGGAGCTGCGAAAAAAAGTTTGAAATGAAAGATATAGACAGATCTTTGAAATTTTCCACCAAAAAAATTGATGGAAAAAGGCAAGAAAAGGGTACATTAGCAGGATTGAATCCATATAAAAGTCGTTATAGAAACAGCAACCCTCAAGAAGAGGAATATGATGAAAAACCAGTCAATACGAAATTGACAAAAAAAATGTCTGATTTTGAGGAAATTGCACAGGATGCAAGAATGTCTCCTAGACCAATAGTAGATTTGACAGAGGCTCAAGAACTAGAATTTGATGACCGACTCTTGGGAGACTATAATAAAGTAAAGCAAAACATGAATCAGATAGATTCTAATGAATCGGAAAGAGGAAAAGGTGTTGAAATTGCTCCTCCTCCTTCATTTGAATATTATGGTCCTAGTCAAAAGAAAATCAAAAGATCTCCTACAGTTAATATGTTTGAAGACTCCATAGAGGCTGGTTTGAAGTTTTTGAGGAAGCAAGTTGAAGAAAAAGAAAAGCCACCAAGGCATCCAAAAGATTTGTTTCTTTTTTAAATTATTACTGTAAATAGAAAAAGTATGTATTGTTCTTTATATAAATGTCAAGGTATTGAATAAACTCTCTTACAAAGAAAATTTTTTCTGAAGTCTAAAATATGCTGATATTGTTGAATGTCACAGTAAAAAAAGCAATGGAATATATTTTTTAATGAATGATTTCACTGAACCAAGTCTACATCGCCACCAATAAACAATAGTTTTAAATACATGGTCAATGAATGAAATTGGACTAACAGTCCTCAACTAGGTTAGACAAAACTACATAAAATTCTTATTACTATTAGATGTGGAATTGACAATTCAAATGTTGAAAGTTGCACAACCTTTGAATTTCAACCCGTCTATTGAAAATACGTTAAGTTTAAATGATTTGCTTGAGAAATATCTCCAGCCGTATCAATAAACGTTTTCTTGGTTAAAATATTCAAAAAATTGGTTAAGTGAACAAAATGCCTTTACAAAATCAATTCAAAATTTTTGATTCCAAGAACACAGATGTGTTGCGACAAATTTCTCATCCCAATAGAAGAAAGTAAATGATGACTACTTGAGATAAAAAAATATTACTAAACCTACTCTTTACAATCACATAAAATAAGTGTTCCACATATATGTTCACAGAATTAATTAGTTCATCCCCAAGCTTGTGTCTTGCAATAGTGGAGTACCAATTTACCCTCTGTACTATAACATTCAAACAAATTTTTCACTGTCTGATCTGGGGATGGTGCAAAGGTTTGATTCACATATATAAACAACTTTTCATTTTGCTCTAGTCTTATATACTTCTTGACAAACTGTATGATCCAGCCGATTTTCTGGTCACCATCAACTGCCCACTTTTTTTTCTTCATGATTGGGGCGTTTCCAGTTGGTTTCAGAAGAATATCATATTTTTGTTTTTCCTTCGTTTTCGATTGTTCATCAGAATCTGGTGATTCGTTTGGTAGGTCCACTGCCAGTGAAGGTAAAGAATCGCCAGTTTCTTCGCACTCTTTTATATTTTCGCTACTCATTTCTCTTAGCAAAACACCCTTAATTTCTCAATGCATTAGTTTGATATGAAAAACGTGAATCGTGAACGAAATAAGAAAAATCAATAAACGCTTTATTCATTTGTAAAAAAGGATCGATACAACACCACTAGGTGTGTTCGTTTAATAGATATCTGAGCAATGGATTGGATAGCACGCTCTTCTCTGAGCTTTGTTCTGTGTTCCGTATTTACAGGTGCGAGTATAAAAAATTGAATTCGTTTAGCACCCAGATTAATATTAGATTCTTCAGATGTCACTTGTCATACTTTAAAAAAAATGGTTGATTTTCAAGTATTTTTGTTGGTGAAATTTTTGATTCTGACATTATATACTATCTCCATTATCATGGACATGATAATGTGTTCTTCAACACTGATCATTTTTGATAAATCCTAAATATCTTTTTGCATTTCAAAAAAAATAAAAAATTTCAATGCTATTCTATAGAAAACCCCCACAAATCATATTTAGTAATCAAGAGTAGATGATTTGTGATGACTATAACACAAATGTCAACTTGTTATTCCAGACAGAATTGTGCGTGATGAAGTGGTATCTGCTCACTCGGTTCCAAGATCTCAAAACCAAACACAGCTTTCGTAAGTAAATTGAAACAACACATCTGTCTAGAGTTTGTCTCTCTAAAATATAGGAGCCAAGTTGCAACTGTCACAAAACCCTCTGTTGAATTATTATATCATTTGTGAGCACTTATTATATAGTACTTTCTATAATAAGCAAACCAAGCGATCATCCAGGGACTTTCCATGCGCAAATTCATGATACGTATTTTCATATAGCAAAAGGCTTCAAAAGAGTAACTACCTGGACCAGTTGAATGATTGAGGCTAGCCCACAGAACACTCATAATTATTTCAGAAGTCATAAATATAGAGAGAATTATGGATTCGTGGGTAGGCCATTCCCATTTATATCGAAAATTTCGAAGGGTTATTAGAGTTTTTTCACAGTAACGGTAGTTGCAAATTATTTGATATTTTTGAAAAGACAGAAGAATTATTTATAAGACAATTTCACTATATTATAATCATTGTGAAACTATCGAAATTGAATATTATGTATGTCATTGTTTCTCCCCTCTCAACTTCAAACGCTATCGTAATTTTTCAAACAGAAAAGCAATAGTGTGACGTCACTTGCCGCCGAGAGAATGTTAATTATTTTTCATTAAAAAAAGCATCTTGTGATATGTTCAAGATACATAGACCTATCATATCACTTGCACCCCTCCATATATAAAATATTTTGACGAGAACTCGATCTACGGCACTCTTGATTCTTCATAAAATGAAGAGTTCCAACTTACTTTGCCATTCTATTCAAAAAGGCGCTAAGCGCACACACCAATGTTTACATTTGGAAACGATTCTTGGTCTACCTATCAATATGTGTACAAAGTTGGGTCAATCTTATTACTCGCTTCTATAGTTTTTGTCAAAACAAACACCTAGTTTCCATGCATCGTTAATAAGTCCTTCGAAAAATAAATATTTATTAGTTGTATTCGTGGTCTACTGCGCCGAAGGGAAGCAAAGACCATAAAAATAAAGAAGAAGAAGAGAGAAGATGTATTTGGGGATGGCGCAAAACTTTTTCAACTGTCAACTCAACTGTGCAACTACATTTGACAGTTCGAAGAAATTCTATCTATCATAGAGAATTCGAAATGAGGATTTATTTTTTCAAGAGACGTCTTTTCTTCCAGTCCAATACGCAATGGCAATATGCAATCTTGATTTTCATTTCTTTGAAAAATCCTGATTGAATTTCGTACTGCTAGACTATCTATACATATTGGAAACATACCTTTTCAATAGTATCTTCCTAACAGGACATTATTTATGTGTAAATCTATCACAAAAATCAACAAATTATAAATGAAACAAGTAAATACTACATGCTATTTAAAAAAAGGTTCTTTCGAAGAAATTATAATCTCTCGTCCGTAAAGTCAGCCAAATAAATATAACAGCTGAAACCGTATCAAAGCTATTTTCCGACTTTGCTGGCCGTGGTCTGCAAGTGTTTATAGCTGATGTTTCGCGTATAAATGCGGTAGATATTACCAAATACAATGAGGTGATAGGTTTTAGAAAATGAAAAATACAGACAATTTCTATGGAAAGGGATAGAAAAAATTAACACAAACAAAGGCTGGCTGCCCTCACTCAATAATACCCTAATCAGGCCTAGTAACCGCACCAATAGAAAAGAAGCCATGGCTATCATGAAATGAATTGATGTCTACTGCAGCTGTAGACGAAATATCAGTCAAAAAACTACAAACCACGACTAACAAACTTGAAACACACTTTAGTGTTATCTCTGGCTATGAAAGTGTACATTCTTTGAACAGTTAAAACTGCTCATAAATGATTCATAACAGTGTTATAATGAAAAATTTTAGCCTACATGTAGCTTCTTTATTATTTCACAATAAATCAATTTCAACATTTTTCTTTGGTACAGTTTTGCTTCATTTTTAATACTTTAATCTTATAAATTTTGTTAAATATTGAAATATTGCTAAATTAACTTTTCAAAACAACACCATATCTCTGATCAAAATTTACAATAAAAATACCCACCCCAAGTTCAACCAATTCAATAAATTGTATACTTTTGATCTAATATAACATTGAGACCCCCACATGAAGTTCGCCATATGTTGATGTATAATAGATGATTAAAACCTGTTTAAAAAAATAATACTTTGAATTGAAATATCCTAACAATCCTATACAGTAGGATCTGTGAAATTCCTGCCAAAATAGAAAAAATTCCTGGCTAATACCATAACAGACATTGGGTTTTGAGACTGATTCTATTTCTATTAGAATTTTGGTACAAGTGATGTTTCCTGAGCTTGAGTTCACAAGATTAAAATGTCACTACTTTATTGAGGTGAAATGCATTTCTGGACTTCAGACAAGGTTGCAAAGTCAAGCTTTGACTTTCCCAAACGAGATTCATTCTGCCTTTGGAGATGTAATATATCAGGCTAAGCTTTAGCCTAACACCTCTGATGAGTTCTTTGGTGATTCGAAACAGCGTGTTGGATCATGAATGTTTTGCAGGGAACGCCAGAGGACGAATCTTATTCGGCAATCCATCCCATAGATAACATCTTCATAACAGATGTCGTCCCCTTAACTTCAATATAGGAGAAATACTCTGAAATCGATTTCAGAAAGGTCCTGTTGCTGGACGAAAGAGAAGCATCTGCAAGAATTTTCTCTGCGAGAAAATTTGCACAAATGTCTGTTGAATATAATCTAATGTCAGTCTTGGTGTTAGTCAGGAAAGTAGTTGTTTTCTGGGTGAGGCATTTGTTAGAACCTGCTGTGTAGGGAGAAATTAATATTTTCAATTCAAAATAATAATTTTCTTGGTATGTTTGCATCTCTCCTTGACGCAGTTAAAATTTCATATGTTGTTTCAACATAAAGCAGTCTCCAATCTCAAAGTAATCACTGAGAGAGCCTAGGCAAATTGTTCAAGAGACTCTATATATTTATCACAAAGAAATTACAGATGAATATTTCATATACATTCCAGACAATCAAAATTAAAACGTGTTAGTCGTGTTTGGCTGAATGTGCACCCCCCAAACGTGTAATAATTTCATACACAATTAAATATATTACAGCCCAGGTGTGATCCTGGTAAACACCTTCATACAATGCCTATATTTTCAACATCATCTAAAATAAAAATAGAATATTAAAACACAAAGTTACATCCAGTTCATCAACAACCTTTCAAGAATCTGAAAATTCAACATATTTCATTAGCTGCCAACTTAATACCTGATCACCAACGAAATTTATTGATTCACAGATCATATATGTATAGGATAAATAGATGATCAACAATAAATATAAAATTTTTCACATCAAGAGGGCCAGATAGTTTTTATCGATAATATGTATATATATAGTTTCTCAACTACCAAATGCGATTTTCTGTTTGAGGAGCTCTCATCACACCTACTCCGCCGCCTAGTCGTCTGTAGTTCATAGATCCGCACAGTCTCCATTGATTTTGCTCAGTGTCGTAAAATTCTATTGTTTTCAAGTAAGCAGTTCCATCAAAACCACCCACTGCATATAGCTGCCCGTTAACAACCGCTAACCCAACCTGTGGAAAAAAATGAAATAAATACTACTGACAACACTTGAAGAACATGTTTTCAATAAACAATCAATCAATCACTGTACTTTATTGTCTAAGAAAAAAATCTTATTGACAAAGCATATGAAAACAATACTATTACACAAAATAACATACACATATACATACATACACATATATAACACATATATACACACACATATATATTTGGAGTATGCGAACAAAAGTGTGATTTTACAAATGTTTTTCAATTCTCCACTACACCTTTTTATTCTTCCTATAGTTTTGATCTGTTCATTTTTATCCATTCTCTACTTAACCTCTCCAAACCCGTATTTCTAATTGACCCCCCTCCTATTTCTTATCTTCCATTTCATTCTCTCTTTGGATACCACATCTCTCTATTTCTATATCTTTCCCCTTTAATCCTATACATTTTCCCCTACTTTTTGATGAAATGAGAGATTCTATAAAAATAAGAACAAAATTTAGATTCCAATACTCACCCCACTACGCCTTGATGTCATAGCCACTATCGGACTCCAAGAATTCGTGTGTGGATTGTATCTTTCCGCACTACTCAATTCCATGCAGTCATCCCTTCCTCCGACTGCATAAATCAAGTTATTGAAGACGGCGCATCCCAAGTGTTTCCGACGGGTTGACATCGGACTCACCAAAGTCCATTTGTTATGCCTAGGATCATATCTCTCTACAGTGTTCAGGGGTGACTGACCGTCCGAGCCCCCAATCGCGTAGAGGTAACCCCCGAGCACCGCTACGGCGACTCCTAACCGTCGGGTAGTCATCGGCGCAACTTTGGTCCATTTGTTCTCCTTCGGATCGTACCTAGCACAACATACATGTGAAGTTTTTTCAAAATTCTCAAATTTATTTTACTATACCTTTCGACATGGTTTAAACACTGAACACCGTCCTGACCTCCAACGGCATACAACAAATTATCCAACACCGCAACCCCCACACTAGTCCTGCAGGAAGTAGTTGGTGCAACGTCACACGACCATTGATCTGTTTGTGGATCATACCTGCATAAAAGTATAAAAAGTGTCACAATAATCTCTGATAAAAAGCAAAAGAAAATCACTTTTCAATATCAGGTTGTTTAAAAAGTTTTGCCCGTTTCTATGAGTCTACTTTAAATACGTCAATTTTTTCAGTATATGTACGAAGGTGGGCCCAGAAACTCGGCCTGACCAAGAGATGGCGGTAGTTATTTGAAAAATATCACTGTATTAGAAAGTTCACAATCTGTAAAACATATGTTTCAAGTTTGAAGACGCTGCGTTGTTTAGTATTTGTTTGGCAGACATCAATAACAAACGTTTTCGATTAATTTGTGAAAATAAAAAAAATTGGTCATTGTTATGTGGTTGTTATGGAGTAATCTCAAAAAAGAATGAGTATTTTCTTTTGTGACTTTTTTGAAAATGTGTATTGTGTATATGTATATGTGTATAACAATTTTTTTCTGACAGTAGTTATCAACATAAAAACAAACTATATCTAGATCTACAAGGTATNGGGTGCCGCATTTGCTCACACTCGAGCAAAAACAGTGTCGTTGAAGATGTTTCAATTGAGTGTTTAGCGAAATTTCACAGCAACAAAGCAGAATTCTTGCGATGTTTCATAACCATGGATGAAACATGGGTCCATCAGTTTACAGGCGAGACAAAAAACCAATCAAAACAGTGTACTCAAAAGGGGGAATAGGCTCCAAAGAAGGCGAAGACCGTTTCATCTGCAAGCAAGGTCGTACCAACAATTTTTTGGGATGTGCGTGGGAGGGTGGAAAATAGCTGAATGGTCAAAGATTTTCCAACGATGAAGAAGTGATGTTAGCAGTTAATGACTATTTTGAGAAAACAGTATCGAACTTATTGAATGTCGCTGGAAAAAGTGTATAGAGCTAGCTGCAAAGAGATTATGTTGAAAAATAAGTACATTTTTTTTTCAAAATGTTTGTGTTTTCTTTGTTGGGTCGTGTACTTCTGGGACCCCCCTCGTATATGTATAGCCCAACCCTAGAAAAAAATATAAATAGTAGTCATAACTGCAATTCCCGACACTCCGAGTTATTTTGATCCTAAGCAAAAAATGAGAAATTTTCAAGGTTTGAAAATATCAAACAAATCTAACTACAGGATAGAGAAGAAAAAAATGTTTTGCAAAAAATATTACCTTTCGATAAACATCAACAACGAAATGGTAAGAAGCAGGCAATCAGTAAAATACATGGGAGTTAACATTGACCACAAAATCGACTTGAACAGCCATACAAAAATGATTAAAAAAAAATGCATCAATGGAGGAAAACACTTTCGGAGTCGGACATTTAAAAAAAGAGGAATCAACACTAAAACTGCAAATAAAATATATAGAATGATCTGTCGTCCACTTCTCATGCACATGTAATTTATTCAAGTTGTCGTAATCCTGCGTTAAATAATCTCCAAACAGCTGAAACATCTACATTAGGAAGTATTACCAAAATGGGTCACCCTCAGAACACACTACACAATCCCTCAAACGCACTGCTTTATAGAACTACAAAAGTGAAACCTATAAAGAAGAGACTATCAGAACTAGGAAACCGCTTTGCCAAAATTGAAATCAACTTGGAGACCCTACAGGCTTTATGTAGCGAAAGAGCTCAAGGACAACCATCCAAATTCAAATACCCGGAAAAAACTATTTGGGAAAACATCAAATCACTCCCATAATTTATAATACTTTTTTTTCTTTTCAGAAATATAATGTTCCTCAAATCTATCATGTAAGCATATCTAAAAATCACTGCAAATATTTAAAAATTGTACACTGGCTGAAGGATTTCGGTCGATGGCCCTTTGGTATTCACCAATAAATGACATTTATTATTATTGTTATTACCTTTCGATGCTGTTCAGGTAACTTTGGCCATCGTGACCGCCCACCGCGTATAAAAGATCATTGAGTACTGCCACGCCCACACCACATCTCCTTTTGCTCATGGGAGCGACCATTTTCCATTCCATTGTTTGAGGATCGAATTTCTCAACCGAGGCTATTGCGTCACCACTACACCATCCTCCGACGGCAAATAATACTTCTCCTGAGAAAAATATAAGAAATAGAATCTCATTGGTGCGTTTTCAGTTAGGCAAACAGTTAACTAACATATGTACTGTAACTGTCAAATATATCCCTGGACAGATGACTTGAAACTCTCTCGTGATCAGTTCGTTATGTATGCTGATGATACATATTTGTTGATAACTCAGGAAAATATTAAAGCCACAGTTGATAAAGCATCTGATGAAATAAAAAGAATCCAAAAGTGGTTCTCAGACAATGGTCTCTTGTTAAATGAAAGAAAAACTGTGCTTTTACGTTTTAATCATTCAACGTCAATTAATGGATCAATTCAATAAGAGGAGACAAAATTTTTGAGTTTGATATCCTCAATATCTTATTGTATTGAACAACTACGCTGGAATGTAAATAAATCACTCTTAATAATGTACTACCATGCATACTTTCATTGTAATATTTCCTATGATATTATAGTTTGGGGAGCATCTAGTGACTGTTCCAGAATATTCAAAATTAAAAAAAATATGGTATATAGCAGTTGCAAACTCATCTTCCAAAATCTCAGAATATTGACTGTCACAAGTATATACATTTATGAGATATTAAAATATGTAAAATTGCATATAACCAGTTTTCCTACTCTTAATGGTAATAAGAATTATAATACTAGAAATTCCCTACAGTTGGAAGTGCCAACACATAGATTAGTTGTATCTGAATCATGTCCCAGGTTTATGGCCATTAAATTGTACAATAAACTTCCAAGTACAATAAAAAACTGGCTTTAAAATAGTATAACTATCATATCAAAGAGTTGCTCCTGGATAAATCCTATTATTCTCTCAAAGAATATATGGATGATAACTTATGACCCTTTACATGTCCAACATTTTAGGCCGATTTTAATAACGAAGCTGTTGCATAAATAACAGATTATTGTAGGTTATGACTTTATATATTATATTATCTATGTAAATTGTATATTGTGCCTCTAAGTGCACAGAGTTTGTATTTTTAATTTTGTATTTGCACACGTTTTTTAATTGTCAATGTCATCTATAGATGATCCAACTGAATGAATATTATTATTAATAATAGTTTATTTCCTAAATTATCAGATATTTTACAAGATGAACTGGAAAACCTAAACAATGAGTGTGAAAATAACGAGAAAAATAGTGACACGCATTTGGATATTGACTCACTCAAACGACTGTTACATAACAACTGAGCGTCCAAAATTGCTGAAACTTTGGTGAGTAACTGTCAACAGATGAACAACGAAATTCACTAGCTTTTATTTACGAGTGCTGCTATTTTCATGTTGAGGTCGGAAACTTTCCAAACCTCCCTCGTATATCTGTTTAAATACACTTCTGCAGTTCATTTCTTCAACTAGTCCTCTCTGTGTTGACTGTTCCCTATCTTTTCACTGTGCCTACAAAATAAATTTATTCCAGTTTTGCTTTCAGTCTTCAAAAGGTACACAAGACTCTATATTTTCACTCCTGGAAAACCTGTACACCAATCTTAATGGAAAAGAATCTGCGGCGGCCATGTTTAGTAACCTAACCAAGGCCTAAGATTGTGTAGACCACATGCTACTTTTTCGCAAGCTAGAAGTTTACGGATTTAGAGGATCTGCATTACTTTGGAATATCATTGACTTTAGGTCGATGATGGTCACTATCTTGCACTGATGAGTGGCTAATAAGCTCGAAACCGGTCTGCAAGTGTGCCCGTTCCATAACTGAAAGTCGACTGTTTCAATTGTATTGCCAATTGCATATGCAGGACATTTTCTGTGAAGATTCCTGCCCTGACGCCTGTCGGATATAATCCAACGCCCTTCGTGGTATTAGCCAGGGGAGTAGTTGTTTTCTAATAGGCGCCAGTCCATTAAACCTACTGTGTAGGTATATAGAGACTTGCTTGAACGTTTGAAGTTCCATTTGCTTTAGATTTACTTATATTTGTATCTGTTCAGCTGGGCTTAATATTGTTCTGTCCATATACTCTGCTCTTATCTCTAAGCATTATTTTATAGTTTATATTTTTTAATTTAATGTCCCGTATACACGTTTCACTTTACTAGACTTTGCCAGTAAGATGTTCAGGGTAATAATGAAGCAAAGTTTCTCTAAGGGGAATGGTACGTCTTTTAACCCCTATGAGCTATTACATCTATTATTAGAAAATGATTACCTCTTCGAGTCGGTTTCCTAGGCCGCGTCCTAGGCCCTTGCATGAGCGGCCTTTCTTGTGGTAACAGCAGGTAATTCTTCGCCTCGTCTACCAGATCTCTGCAAGACTCGTCAGATCTAACCAACAAATCCGACCCCACCGTACCCACCAGAAACTTGGGACTCAACAAGGGCAGGCGAACATGTTGCAATACTTGGGGAAGGTGCTGCCTCCTGTCGGAAACGTTATATTTAACCCACGACATGACGGCGTTGAAAACTTGTTCCTCTGTACGTACGTTGAGTTCATCACTAGCTATAATGTCGACTAGCTGACCTATGGGCAGCAGCAGGAACTCCTCAGACTCCATAACTTCCTGAAAGTTGTGCTGCGTGAACTTATCGGCGATCCTCAACAGCTCCCGGCACGAATGAGTGTCCGCGAACGCCCTGATGCCCAAACAGTTCGAAGGATCCAACTGCCGCTTGAGGAACTCGCAACAAATATCCTGTATCTCGGTCAACTGCAGGAGGCAAGCCGCTGGCAGCAGCATCTGCACGTTCGATTCCTCCACGACGATGTGAGAAGTGTAACAAAAGTCTATGAGCAGATCCATGGCCAGCTCGTCGATGTCGCGGATGGTCACTTCAGTCTGGCGAGACTCCGCGAGCTCCCCCGTGAACATCGCCCGGAAGTAGGGACTGCACGCGCTCAGAATTACTCGGTGAGCGAATATTTTGCGAGTCCCCACATTTAAAACAACGTCGCAGAGCTCCCGATGCCGACGGAGGAGATTGAGTTCCGTTAGAGTGGTCTTGGGATGTTTTTCGGAGGAGTGAGATAGGCGAGCGGGGGAAGGGGGGCGGTCGCCTCCGGTCATCTCCCCCATTCTGCACGGACCGCGGAGATGGGCGGCCAGTTGTATTAAACCAAAAATTATTTTGGTTCGTAACAACTTCACTCTTTCAAGGCAAGTTTCGAATATAAACTGAAGCTTTATATTTAATGAATAAACACCTCAGGAACCTCCGCCTATGAATTCACGAGTTTTACAACCGTTTTATGACTTGGGCCCTCATTTTGTGCTATCGACAAATTATGAACGGACTATAGGTTTAATTTGAAAGGGTTATATTTTTAGGAGAGATTAAATTTTGGGAAAAAAGGTTTTGACTTTCTACTTCTACGTCTTTCTCCCAAGTTCCAATTCAAACAAGATTCCCATGGCTAGAATTTAATCAAATGTATACTGTATATGCTTATGAAGCTGTGCTTGTACAGTTGTACTTTAGTAGCAATTCTTACAGCAACTGTCGTGTGGTTAATGATGGTTTACTCCTACCTGCAGATTGTTATGCCATAAACCTTGAATGATAATAATATTGATATTCTATTTTTATTCATGTGGATGATAATTTGATACAATATTTTATGTTGTAGAGATATTTTTGCGCTTATTGCAAAAATCGAATATGGAGATTGGGAAGACAAGGTTTCAAATGTATTCAATGTAAGTTACTCGTACTGGTGCGTAAGAAGAGCCGCAATACTGTAAATAAACCGAATCTAACAGGTGAGTAATTAATATCCCTTACTTCATTTTTCAGTTATATCAGTAGATGAGAAAGTATATTATGTATTGAGAATATATTTTTTTGAAACCTGCAGTTTAATATAAGATTTTCACTAAACATTCAATTTTAGATATGCTTTTACGTTGAACTGATAACATTTTTCAAATATCTCTTGGCAAATTTATTGTGATGAAATGTACTCATCCAATTAGCAAAAATAAACGTTTCGCCTGTAGTCATGAAATCGCATCATCAGTAACAATTTGTGAAAATGCTACGAATATCATGACAAAACATGGAACACTAAAAAACGATTGGCACATATAAAGCTGTTATTTGTATCACGGCCTAATAATTAATATGTTCTCTGTTTTTAGGGGATCCCAACAAACCGCTTGATGAATTGGAACCTGTATCCCAGCCCCAGTACTCCCTAGATGACTTCGAACTCATACGAGTTATAGGACGAGGCTCCTACGCTAAAGTGTTGATGGTAGAATTGAAAGAAGTTAGGCAAATTTATGCTATGAAAGTGATAAAGAAAGCTCTAGTGAAGGAAGGTGGGAATATCAATTGGATACGAACCGAGAAACATGTTTTTGAAACAGTTTCAAATCATCCATTTTTAGTTGGTTTACACTCGTGCTTCCAAACTCCATCGCGACTATTTTTTGTCATAGAATTTGTTCAAGGAGGCGATCTTACGTCACATATGCAAAGACAGAGAAGATTACCGGAAAAACACGCCAGGTTTTATGCCGCAGAAATTTCATTAGCTTTGAACTTTTTACATGGCAAGGGTATAATTTACCGGGATTTAAAGTTGGAAAACGTTCTCTTAGATCATGAAGGACACATTAAATTGACTGATTATGGCATTTGTAAAGAAGGCATTAGACCAGGAGATACTACCTCAACATTTTGTGGTACTCCCAACTATATAGCACCGGAAATTTTATGTGGTGAAGATTATGGATTTTCTGTTGATTGGTGGTCATTAGGTGAGTGTTATATTTCTTCTACATCTGAGTGATTTTATCTGTCTGCAATATATACGATAGCAGAGATACAAAGTGTCCTGTAAGTGAAGTGAAAAATACAATAAATTTTCAATACAGCAATGTTATAGATCGAAATTCTCGTGTGGACTGAATTGCACTTTAGAGATCTCACATCCAGGAATACTCCTAGTAAATAACCCATTTTTTTGAAAGGCTATGTAAGGAAACCATTCTCCTGTCTTTGTACGTCGTTCGTATTTACAAGAAGTATTTGTTGTGGTATAAATGTTCTTCTTTTGTCGGTTGGAGCGCCATTGTTGTTTTGCATTCAATATTTTATTTTGTGCTACCACCACCGACATAACCTATAACCTAAGCCTCTAACGTTATATTGATGGCTAATGGCTACCACTAACTAATAAGTAATAGGCAATTTGCATTCAGTCGTGTGGTATTGTTGCCTGCATACCCAAAAGGCCAGTATTGCCAAAGAAACTACGTTTGACGTGGATCCGGAGCATTCCAATGGAATATAAAAACACCATATCTACCCTTTTTTGTAATATCGTTTATTTTATGCAAAATAGAACTCAGGTTTGCAGTCGTTGCCATTGAAGCTTTTCCAATTATTAAATTTCGAAACAGCTAGTTATTTTCAGAAATATAAGATTACTTATTAAACTTATATTTCTTAAGGTGTGCCTGCATTTTATAGGTGAGTTTGAATTAGTTGGTACACGGGAAATGTAACTTTATTTCTAAAATGTATTTCTGGATATTAACATTTATACGGGGTGTTTATTGAACATGCGGAAAAAAATTAAGGGACTATTCCTTGGATATTTTGTCCTTTGATGATTTTTGATAGGGCGCTTTGTCCTACCAAAACTATCAATACTCCAACAGAGACCAAAACGTGTCTGAACACTGTATCGAGGACAGATATCTACCAAACAGTAGATCAGTTCTGGACAAAATAGCTTTTAAAGATCTAGTGTTTTAATAAATGATATTATTGATTCACAACTTACGACGGTAACTTTTTAGTAACTATGAAATTCACATCTCGGCTCTTCTCACATTTTCATAGTTTTTACATTTTTACTAGCAAATGGTCCATAATGAAATCTCATTCTTATTTTGATTATTCTACAAAAAAAAAGACATAATTAGGATATGAAAAAATGAGAATTAAAACTTCATCCTATATGTTTTTTGCCGCTTATATTTGTTACGAATAAAAGTGGTAAAAACATAGATAGTTTTAATTCTCATTTTTTATGATGATCTCCTAAAACATCTGTTCTGGCTCGATATTTTAGAGACTGAACTTATATACTGATATCTTTCATTTCATATGTTATGGAGTTGGTCGATACTTGGTGCAAATCCATAACTTATTCAAGTTACATTTTATTGCGAGATTTTCACTGGACTTGAATTGTTTCTAGAGAGGGATTCCATATTGTTGAGGTGTACTCCAATTTACTATTATTCTTTCAACAAGTTTCTCCACGATAGCATACTAACTGAGATCTATTTCGAAGATACGAGTTGATAAGTTATGAATAAATTCATGAACTTTTGTGCTTCGAAACATGGATTTCTATATTCATCTAGGTTATCTTCTACCGCAGTATTGTTGCGAACTATCTGTTACGTGACGTGGTTTCTCAACGAAAAATAAGTGGTACATTCGTTCTAGTCCAACAAATTTATTTGATAACACAAAACACAATTACACAGTAATTCAATAGTATTTTTTTCGTCAAAAAGCAATGCTTTATTATCGGACAAACAAACACAAACCACATTCACAAACTCTCTCCACACTCACGCACACACATACATGCGCGCGCGCATACACAGAGATATACCTAAGCCGATTCCAGGATTTGCAGTTTTTTTTTCATTTCAGCTCAAACAAAAAAAAGTTATACCTCCATATAAACCCCGTTTGAGTTCTGACAGAGATTTGGCCAACTTTCCACCAGAGTTTACGAACGAACCAGTACATCTGACACCAGATGATCGGTAAGTAAGTCCAGCTGTAACTTTTACTCGGAAAAAGTTGTGTTAAATTAAAAAAATAATTGAATTGCAATCGTTTATTGATTTTAAAAAAAGGTAAAATATGACGTCATACAAACTTTGACAGGCTATATCTCGAAAACTAAATTGAGTCAGACAAAAATAAAAAGTGTTCTGAATTCCTACCACCATGTTAGTATCATCACTGAAAAAATCGCGATAACCCTGCAAAAAATCATAATGATTAACCGAAAATAACAATTTCATTAAAGAAAAAACTGAAATTACAAAGAAATAACATTCAACAACAACCAAACAAATAAAAATTTAAATATTAATAAAAGCTGAAAAAATTGAAAAAATTAAAAATAAAGAATGAACAAATAATAAAATTTAAAAGATTTCAAACCAAGTTATGTCACAACGTTTCGATTGTTAGTATCCACAATCGTTTTCGGATGATAACTGGACTTATTCCTCCGAGATCTGACTATTTATAGGTCATTCGAGTGCTTTCACCTATCCCCTCTTAAATAAAATTGTTATTTTCGGTTAATCTTTTATTTTTTCAGGGATTTCAAATCAATTTATGTTATATTAGACAATGGAAGTCCGAACTGATGAAATACACCACGAAACATTATCAATCACTTTCAAACAAATATCGGGATCTTTTTTCACAAAAATAGCAACCATGGCTTTTATCTCTCACCCTTTTTCACACACATTTTTTTAATGATAATTTTTTGGTCTATTTTTTTTCTGTAGCAGAAAATCACGGAACACGCAGAACATTTTAAACTTCCATGCCTCTCACCAACAAACTAACTAAATGGCTAATCGAAAGTACACGTAGCCTACGAAATTTTAACACTTTATTTCTGTAACAATCCTCGTATATATTAATATTTTTGTTCTGGTAATACGTTCTTGAAAAACCCATTTTCATCTCTGCCACAAGTAATTATTAATATGTAATTTTTAACTTTTTTGTGTTTTGCTATATACTTATTTTTTTCACAGGAGGGTAATCGAAAAAATTGATCAATCAGAATTTGAAGGATTCGAATATGTCAACCCACTTCTTATGTCTTTAGAAGATTGCGTGTGACACAATGTTCTTTGCGCTCTACATCCCAGAAATCTACCACCTCCACTCTCACGTTTTCCGCCACTAATGCTGCCACCACCTCCACATTTTCAGAAATATGGTGCATATAGATACCAATTCGATTGACGAGAATAATCCGGAGAATGCCAACGAAAGTAGGAAATATAGTAATCCAACGAAAAATAAATCGATTGAAACGATTGATAATTTATATTGCGGTACAGGCTTTATGGTAGTTCATATGGCTAAATTTATGCAGGCCACGTCGTCGACGACGTGCAAATTGACCGGCATACCTTTTAATCTACAGAATATGTTCTGCCTCCCGTTGAATGCTTGGCAATAGTATTATTTCACTCTTTTTTTATATTGAAATGAATTTTCAACAATAAAGATTTACAACAATGTCGAGTACATAATTTACATGTTACAAACAACCGTTATTCTTTCTATCAACTGTCCAAGACGTCATGATCGACCAAATTCTACGCTGGAATGATCACGTAGATCACATAGTGAAAAATGTCCACAAACTAATTCGGAAATTTTACCAACTAAGAAGTAGGTACCTATGATGCACTGTTTGGAACCTTTGGTGTAGTAATGAATATTACTGGAGTTTTTCCTAACACCAAATCGTTATTTTCAACACCTCGACACGTGTTTCGATCACCAAGTGACCCGTGTTTCGATCACCAAGTGATCATCTTCAAAGAGGAAGATTAAAACTCATGTTGTTTCAATCTTCCTCTTTGAAGATGATCACTTAGTGATCGAAACACGTGTCGAGGTGTTAAAAATAACGATTTGGTGTTGGGAATTTGGTTTCATTCCGTAAGGTACCTATATCAAAACTATGAGCATTTTGGATATAAAAAAGTTTGAGTGCGAACCTGTCCAAAACCATTTCGCGAGTCCTGTCCTCTTATCGTCACTTCCCAAAATGGCGTCTGGATACTTTTCAACATCAATTGCGGTATGGCTAAGTGTCCATGCTGATCGTTAACTATGCTGTGGTACGGTGCCTTGGTGAAGTCGATTATTAGATACTGCATCTTAATATGGAGTGACTTATTAAAAACATCACTATATAATCTTCATGTATTACAAAACACACTGATCGCCTTGAAGAAGGATAGGAGATATTCAACAGAGTTACTCTGCGAACAAAGTGGTTTGTTCAAAGTCACAAAATTATACGCTTATCAATGTTTATTATGGATTTGTAGTAACCCCACTCACATCATTACACATAAATATATTACGCGAATGACCTCCAACCAAGCAATTACAATATAGTAGGTGGTTTGTGATTACAATACCACATGCTGTCACAACCATGTCTTATTATTACTCTGAGGTTGGGGCACAGAATCACAGACTAAATATTTGTGGTTGAGGTAGTGATAATTGGCAACGGTGGTAACAAAGTTTAAAAAAGTTTGAGTGCGAACCTGTCCAAAACCATTTCGCGAGTCCTGCCCTCTTATCGTCACTTCCCAAAATGGCGTCCGGATACTTTTCAACATCAAATGCGGTATGGCTAAGTGTCCATGCTGATCGTTAACTATGCTGTGGTACGGTGCCTTGGTGGAGTCGATGATTAGATACTGCATCTTAATATGGAGTGGCTTATCAAAAACATCACTATATAATCTTCATGTATTACAAAACACTGATCGTCTCGAAGAAGGATAGGAGATATTCAACAGAGTTACTCTGCGAACAAAGTGGTTAGTTCAAAGTCACAAAATTATACGCTTATCAATGTTTATTATGGATTTGTAGTAACCCCACTCACATCATTACACATAAATATATTACGCGAATGACCTCCAACCAAGCAATTACAATACCACATGCGGTCACAACCATGTCTTATTATTACTCTGAGGTTGGGGCACAGAATCACAGACTAAATATTTGTGGTTGAGGTAGTGATAATTGGCAACGGTGGTAACAAAGTAACCTAAACAAGGAAAGGTAAACAAGTAAACAATACATACCTAAAGTTTACAATTTTCTGTTGCCTAGTCAGTTGGATAATAAGTAAAGTATTTTATAATGACGGGTACAATTCTAGAAAATTTAAGCGGTAGGAAATTGGCCATTTTAGTAAGTTTTCTATTACTTGGCCAGCTAGCGTGTTTTCTTGTGGGGCTGATGGCACCAAATCCAGCTACAACACAAGGAACGTTAGCAACAGTTTGTCTAGATGAGAATCCAGAAGCAGAAGATAACAGTAGATGGTTCACCCGCGATTGTAAGAGAATAAATCTTGCCAATATGATAGTTTCCCCTGAGTTTAATGCAAATAATCTGGTGAGTACCTCATTCATTTTAGCAAAAAAATAGTTTAATACATTTCTGATCACAGAATTGTATTTTCAAAGATAGCATAATTTTTGGGATATTTAGGGAAGGAATATTAGTTTATGAAAAAAATATTATTAAAATAATAAAAGTGGAGGGATGTCGTTTTGCTACTTTAAAGTAATGAATGAACGTTGAGTTATGTTTATGTGAACTGCCCCTTGATGAAGATAAAACTGAGAAATCATTTACAAATTACTGAATTTATACTGAATATACTGAAAAAAATGCATAAATTTAATAGCTGAACCTCCTACCTACTTGATCAATTGCTCCTTGGAAGGGGGGATTTTTCCTGAGTGCCTGAAGATTTCAAAAATTGTGTCAATTCATAAGAAGGGAAATGACACTGACATACAACATTTCAGACCAATTTCCCTCATTAGCCCATTCTCAAAAGTATATAAAAATATATTTCAAGCCTAATGATAACTTTTTTTAATAAATGGGGTCTATTTAATGTGAACCAGTTCGGTTTTCCGAAGGGATTGTCCACAAATCAAGCGATTACACAGTTTCTCAACAATGTGTACAGAGAGTTGGATGAAGGTAAAAAGACGCTAGGGATTTTCATATTCTTAAGTAAGGCATTTGATCTGGTAGATCACAAAATTCTCCTAGCAAAGCTTGAAATGTATGGAATCAGGGGAATAACCCACAAATGGTTTAAAGCTACTTAGAGGGTAGATACTACTATGTAGAGGTTAGCAGAAATAAATCAGAATCTAAAAATTGTTTTCTCGGGGTTCCAGGGTTCTTTTATATAATATAT